CCTATCGACCTTTAAGTTTTAGCTAAAGTACATAACATCACAAATAATGACCACTTTTTCGAGCATAGGTGGGGCCATTATTTGTGATATTCCTTTTTGGGAAAAGCTTTCAACTAATATTTTGAAAATTTTCTCGGTTCTGGGGCTTTATTGATGTCTCTTTCACAGTTGTTCCATCAGAAATTAATTGAAAGGGACAGTTTCAAGAGCAGAGAATCCCTAATGCTATGCTTTTGGGAGACTACTTAAGGAAAGTGCTGGACTTTATTTACGTTCTGTTTTTGATGGATAATTTAATCAGATCACTTTGCCGGATGCCAGCATATTTTCTCAAGTGCTGTTGAAATGTTGTTCTATCGTATAATATTTGAAATTGATGTTTATTAAGTTACATGAACTGATGGGACATGCATCGAGGATTGGGTGCTTAGCGTGGAACATTGATTTGCTGTGCTCCGGTTCGCGAGATCGTTTCATCATCCAAAGAGATATCCGTCAGCCAGCACAGTGTGCGGAACGCCGACTCAACGCACACCGACAAGAAGTAAGACATTTTCTTCTTCGATGGCTTCTTTGAATTGAACATTAATTTCCCCAGTTTTTTTTTTTTTTTTTTTTTAATTAATTTTAAATCACTAGATCGGGCTATAGGTGTAGAGACTTGAAATTAGTTTCGGAGGGATCATTCTTTCGAGTTCGGGGGGGAAGGGGGATAATGAAGGCTAGTATTTCACTGCGCAGAAAGGGGTCTAAATTAAATTACCTGGGTGAAATTTATTTCACGTGCTATCGCATGTCGAAATTTCCTCGCAAGTGCCAATCATCTGTGCATGACTTTCAACAGTTCTTGACAAAACAAGGAACATGCCTCCTCTTATTGACCTACCTTATCTTTGAAGGAATAACCGTATGTTTTCAGCAATCATTTTGGGTTAAGTATTTTTTTGAAATTTCAGGTTTGTGGTTTGAAATGGTCTCCGGACAGGCAATTTTTAGCATCTGGTGGCAATGACAATCAATTGTTGGTCTGGACTTTGCGAAGAAATGATCCTTGCCAAGTATGGAAGAATTTTTCCTTCTTCAGTAAAATATACTAACAGAGGGAACTTAAAGCAGGACTATATCTGTTGTTTGCATAATACCGAAAGAAAGCATCATGTTTGTGTAAATGAGGGTATTCTGTGCTTTTTACATTTTATATAAGTTCTTTTCGCCCTTGCCTGTCAGTCTTGTGTGGCCAAAAATACTGAGTCCCTCGTTTAGTTGCTTATAGTACCTTCCCAACTTTCCTTGTTCCACATTTGACGAAAAATGGAAAGAGGGGGAAGGGAAAAAACGACGTCGTATTTTGTTAGTGATAAATTGGCATAATCGAGTATGTTAGGCCTGAAGCAATTATATTCATATTTTTTTGGTTTTTTTGTAGGAAACATTTAGGGTATCGCTGTTTTGTAGCATTCGAAGAATCTCCGTAGATCGGAGTTCTGAAATCGGAGTTATTTTTCTTCTCAGTCTATTTCTTAGCCGAGCATCTAAGGCAGCGGGGCTTCGCTCATCGCAAGAGAATAACGGATTTCCACATCGAATTAGTTGGGCGAATCCCTATATCGATCGTAAAAAATTATTTACGCGAATTAATTTTCCTTGTAAATACCCGGAATTTTACGAATTTTATCACTCACGCATCAAAAAAAAAACACTTGAAACTAATATATGGTGGTTTTATCAAATAATTTTTCAGGTTTACACGGAACATAATGCGGCAGTGAAAGCATTGGCTTGGTCACCACATCACCATGGACTTCTTGTTTCCGGTGGTGGCACCGCTGATCGCTGTCTTCGTTTCTGGAACACACTGACCGCGCAGCCACTGCATTTCATCGATACTGGAAGTCAGGTATCTCAAAAAAAGTCATTGATTTTTCGAAAAAATCATTGACATCCTTCGTATTTTTTTTGAATTGGGGGGGGGGGGGGGGGGGGGGGGGGGGGGGGGGGGGGGGGAAA